TGATTTAAAAAAAAAAAAAAAAAAAAAAAAAAAAAAAACAACAAGCAATAAGCCAAACAAGCAACAAGCCAAAAACTAGCCAACAAGCAACTCACAAGCCAATGAAGCCAAAAACAAGCCCAATTCTGTGTTTTTTTCCATGGGTTTGGCATGTCTGCCTGAAAGGCGTCTTCCCCTCACCTCCATCAAGCAGAGCCCCCAGGCAGCCAAGGGCTGACGAAAAAGAGAAATAGCAAGGTTGTGACCCTACAAGGAAGCAGCCTGCAGTGGAGAGAAATGATTACGATTCAAGCTGTTCAAACGGTCAGAGCCTTTCTCTCAGCTCCAGCCTTCCCACAAGGGCATGGGAGGACGGGAGTGCAAGGACAGAGCTCCAGAGAACTGGTCTGGAGAGACTCCTCAGGGAGCTCTAGTGATGGGGAGCCCCAACAACAGTGGGACATTAGAAGGGATAGGCTGCGTTAACACCATGCCCCCCAGACTGGCTCTGAGCAAGAGGTACAGTGCCAGGACCCTAGCAGCGCCAGCCCGCCCACCCCAGCTCTGCTGGAGAGTCGAGTACAGACAAGGCTGGGGTGCCCTGAAGGTTGGAGGCCTGCCCTTGCAGAATCCAGAGACCTGCCCTAAGCTGGGTGCTGGAGGCAGGCAGGGAAAGTGCCACACAGCTGGCCCTTCCAGAGCAGTACGTGTGTCACAAGCACCATCTAGTGCTCGCTCGTCAGTCCCACACCACCACCTTCTCCCTCTCCCAACCTAGCGCTGCGATGCCCCACCTAGAACACAAACACAGCCAGCTCTGAGACGCCCTGCCCCCAATTCATCATTTCTACAGTGCCCAGAATGTGCCTGGTGACTTTCCAACACAGCTAAGGTTGCCAGGCATCCGGTTTTCGACCAGAACACCCAGTCAAAAAGGGACCCTGGTGGCTCTGGTCAGCACCACTGACCAGGCCATTAAGAGTCCGGTCAGCAACTCAGCAGGGGCCCAGGACTAAGGCAGGCTCCCTACTTGCCCTGGCTCCACGCTGCCCCCGGAAGTGGCCGCCAGGTCCCTACGGCCCCTAGGCCTGCCCATTGGCTGGGAACCGTGACTAATGGGAGCTGCAGGGGGCAGCACCAGTGGGCACGATGGCAGCGTGCCCATGTGCCTAGTGGCTTCAGGGACCTGGCAGCTGCTTCCTCAGAGGGCTTGGCCCCCCAACCTCCTGCCTGGAGTCCCCTCCCACATCCTAAACCCCTCATCCCCTGCCCCACCCCAGAGCCCTCACCCTCCTGCCCCAGCCCAGAGCCCCCTTCTCCCTGGCCCCACCCCAGAGTCCTCCCCTACCCCAATCCCCTGTCTCAGCCCAATGAAAGTGAGGGAGGATGGGGAAGATTGAGTGACAGAGGGAGGGGGGATAGAGCGAGTAGGGGGCAGGGCCTCAGAGAAGGGGCAGGACAGTGGCAGGGCAGGGGTGTTTGGTTGTGTGTGATTAGAAAGTTGGCAACCCTAACACACATCCCTGCCTCAGCCGGGGACGAAGTTTGCTTCTGCTGTCCCTAGGACCAATGGCCAGGAGTAAGCAGCAGGTTTCTTTAGGAGGGAAGACTCCATCTCTCCGGTGAACTGAGCTGGGCTGGCGGTCATGGACTCATTATTATGCTAGTAAACGGAGGTCCATTGTGCTAGGTGCTGTATATTCGAGAGAGGTGCTGCCCAGAATGCAGGATTGCCAGGTTCTGGTCACAGCTTTGTTACTGGCTCTACCTCTGGGCCCCC